CCTGAGCTGTTGTGTGTCATGGCCACGACCAGCTGGTGCTCCCTGCAAGGTGGAAAGTGAGAGGGGCGGGGGGACAGCAGGGAGAGTGGAGCAGGGGCATATGCAGGCAAGCACTGCCGGTGGGGAGACCCATGTGGAGGTGGCAGAAGTGCAGGGGCTGCACTCACCCGGTCCCCTCCGAGGTGATGGGTTGCAGGGGAAGCACGACCGTCCCTTGGGATGGGGAGATGTCAGGGACGCTGCGGCAGCTGATGCCCAGAGGGTGCTGGTTGTCTGGAGGGCAAGAGCAGATGAGCATCAGCTCAGCAGGGGCAGGCTCGGGCAGTGCAGGCTGCAGAGCACAGCTCCTGTGTGACCAGGCTCCTCGGACAGGGGCATAGCGAGCCCTACCTGTGCTCTGAAATTCCCACAGCGACGCAGCCCCGGCCCCGGCAGCCGTCAGTCCCTGAATCGACACCACGTAGCTGCTGCCAGGGCCGTGCTCCGGCAGCCGGTGCTCAGTGACGGAGCCGTTCACCTGCAGCCGCTCCATCTCCAGGAAGCCTCCGTCCCGTGTGCTCCTGGCCGTGATGTTCAGCTGGGGAGAGGAGACAGAGCTGCAGGGCAGCAGCTCCAACCTGCCCACAGCTCACCGAGGCAGAGCAAAGCACCTCTGGCAGCCTCCCCTTCTCTGAGGCTGCTCCAGCTGTGGAAGGCTCTGGAGAGGAACCAGCACGATCCTTGGCCCCATGTGTGGACCTCAAAGCAGAGAAGAGGAGGAGAGGAGGAATTTGGAGCCAACACTCAGGATGTCCAAGTGTCTGCCTCCGTGAGCAAAGAATCAAGTCTCTGTGAAGGAAGAGAGAGGCTGTTTATTTGAAGGGGTGTATATACATGTACTGAGCCTGAGGCCAGGTCACCCCTATGGTATTGCAACACCACAGGCACTGTGTTGACATCCTTCACAAGAAGAGCCCTGAGCTTTTCTTTCCTCCTGTGCAAGATTGGACTCTGAAGGTTTTGTCTACATGAAAAGTAGACAGCATAGAGCTTCCATCCAAGTAATACAGATGAAGGCTCCCCATTTGCCCATGCATCATCTGAAGTTGTCTTGAGATCTATGCCCATTCTCATTTGCTGCCTTTGTGGAAACGCATCTTGGGCATATGCAAAAGAGGAGACAACTGAAGGCAGGAAAAAAATATTCTTTCCACAAAAAAAGGTATCTGAGAGCAGGGAACGAGCAGAACAGGCTCACAAGCAACATTTTCAAGTGCCCTGTTTGACTGTTTCTCCAGGAAATAGCTCAGAAACACCTTACAAGGTCCCTGTCAAACCAGGGAGATACCCGTCCTCAGAGAGGACGTGGGACACACTGAGGTGCATCTCACCAGCAACTCCCTCCCCCTTTTAGAAAGTAGGGTTGCACTGTGGAAAGTGTCCTAAATCTGCAGACAGATGAGATGCTTCTAGCCATGCCTTGAGGAAAACTCAAAGGAACAGTGCAGCTCTCTGGAGGAGAGGTTTTCAGGAGGGATTTTCAGAGGATTACTCAACCCACAGGTTTGTCTGTGGCAGGAAACAGAACCAAGCATGCAAGAGGCACAGGAAACCCTGGGATAACACCCCAGAAGACACATCACACCGCAAAGGTCTGCCAAGCCCAAAGCAGAACAGACCCAGGAAGTCAGACCAGAGGGTGGGGAGCACCCAGCACCTCTGTGGGCATTTCCATAGCAGGAAGAATGTTGAGAATGAGAGAGAAAACACTTGTGCTTCTCAAAGCCAGATATTCACTGTCTGGGACCTGCAGCTCAATCTAGTGGTCGCTTCCCCCCCTTCCCAATCTGCCTGCACAGAACTCCAGGCAATGAGATGAGGGTCTGCCTGTGGCCCCTTGGTACCTGGTATCCAATGATCTCCCCTTTGCAGGAGGGCAGCTCCTTCCACCTCAGGGACCCTCTGCTGGTATCCAGCCACAGTTCCTCTGGTTTGTCTGGCACTGGAAGCACAGGAGAACAGGGTCACACGCAGGACCCATGAGGACGGGCTGAGCCCAGAGCAGAGTGCAGGCAGCTCCTGTCCAGGGGACAGACTGCAACGGGACCCCATATCAAGGGTTTGTCCCACATGCTGCAGCAGTGGGAAGAGCAACAGTGTGATGTGGACTGGGACAGCAAGGAGGGGATGTGCCCTGCTGCAGGGTTCTGCAGAGCCCCTTCCCCAGACCCCCACAGGATATAAACAGCCTTGATCCCTGCAAGGAGCAGATGATCAGGCTGAGCTGACAGATGAAGAGGACATTTCTCCACTTCCCCTACCCATGACACAGCCCCAGACTGTTCCTTCTCTCCAGTACTTCTGTGCACATACCTGTTTCCTCTGTCCTGAACAACCATGAGAAAAGGGTCGTGTTGGGGTGCAAGAAGATGGTGACACTGTAGTCAGTGAAGGGCTGCAACTGGGAGCAGGAGAATGTTCCCTCCTGGCCATGTAACATCTCCTCTCCCTCCACCTCCTCAGCCTTGCAGGGAGGGGAGGAAGGCACTGCCAGGCGGCACATGGCCCGCATGGCCTGGCAGGCACCAGGGAACCTGCAGGTCCAGTTCAGTTGGATGCTGGTGCTGGAGATCTCAAAGGTGCCGGGGACAACCTGAAGCACTTCTGTGAAAGAAAGATTGACCAAGGGTCACTGTATTTCCCACCCCTGCCAGCCTTGCAAGGATTCTGCAGTCAGACAGCCCTGTCACCACCCAGCCTGGTGGGAGGGCAAGCAAGAGGCTGAAGCTGGTCACTCCAGCTCTCTGGTAGGGCAGCAGGAGGAGTTTGGACAAGAATGAATGGGAGTGACTGAGTGGACTGTTACTGGTCAAGGCAATTTTCCCCCTTGATTCCAAACTGAGGTATCTGTGTCCCAGCGAGTCCAACAAGTGCTGTTCTGTTCTCCCTTGGAGGGGACAGGAAGACCCCAAGCTGTGAGGACATGGTGCCAAGCCTACACCCTGTAGGCCACAGAGTCTAGAGGGAGCAAGCTGTGGTACTCCCAGCTGCACAGTCTGAGAGGGCACAGGCAGCACAGCCCTCCAGTCCTGCCCCCACTGGGATGCCATGCTGACCACAAACACTGCCACTCCTCACTCTCCCATGCTTTGTGCTCCTGCTCTTGGCCAGAAGTCCTCAGGGAGCCCCTTCCCTTATTGCCCACAGCTCCAGGGGTGAACTGCAGGCTGCAGTCAGGGCAGGCTCAGGGGCTACCTTGACACTGCCTTCAGCAACACGTGCCATTTCCCCAGGCAGCAGAGAGCCAGAAACCTGCTGTGCCCACACAGCTGCCTTCCCTGCTCAGGAAGGGCAGGGTGGGGCAGCCAGGAGAGCTCCTCATCCCTGCCTTACCGAGGCACTCCATGCTGGAGCGAATGCGGATCCAGACACCTCTGGTATCTCTTCCAAGCCAAACCTCTCTGTAGACAGGTTTCGCATCAATGAAGGACTGGAGTTCACTCGAACATCTGACATGGGTGAAGGATGGCTGGAAACCTTCAGGGCAGCTCAGCATCACTTCTTCATTCTTCCTGTAGCTCTCCTGGTCTGGTACCAGTTGGAAGATGGAGGCCCAAGGGGGCCTTTGGCACGTTTCTGGCAGAGGTGAAAGTGGGTGTTAGTTGGGCTGGAGGGTGCTGGGGTATGGGTGTGTGGTGGGAGATAAATGCCCAGCTGTCCCTCCAGCCCCTGAAGGGAGAGGCAAGGTGACACATCCACCTCAGGATGTTGGGAGGGGGCTTTCCTTGTGCATGTAAAGTGTGAAGGATCCCTCATCCATGAACCTCCCCCATCCAGCCTCGTGTCTGGGGGCATTCTATTTCCTCCTCCATAGCCCACAGGAAGGAGATTGCCAGGACAATCAGCCCTGCACTGGGAGACTCCCTCCAATGTCTCCTTCAGGTATGTCACCCATCCCAGCTCAAGCTGCACTTGATGGTACCACCCATCCTGCTGGGATGCATATCTCTTCAGCCATGGCTCATCCCTGCCACAGGGATCAGAGATGCCCCTGTTACACTTCTGGGCTCCCTGTTCTGGCTCAGTCTTTTGGCTACTCTCCTTCTGCCCCACACCACTGTGCAGTGGGACATGGGGAGGAGTAAGGCCTTCTCCATTCACATCCCCTGCTTTAGCACAGTTCCTGCCCCCTTTTCCTGCCATAAGCCCTCTTCCTTCACATCCTCTCCTCACCAAATTCACCATCTTTTA